AAGGAATAAATAAGGAACTGCAGAAGGTCCTACAGATGGTAAACATCACAGGCATAGCACAGAAGTGTAAAGAGACATTACCTGTTAGGGAATGATCGCTAACATGCCTGGTACATCGAGTACACGGGGAGGCAGGAGGCGAAGGCAGGCTGATGCTGATGATATACTTTTCTATACATGAACTAACAAAAAGCATATCGTGAACAACTTCTTTATAGTTGTCATCACACTTGCAATCAGTTAATACTGATTAGACTTCCTTTACAAAGTTATACTTCCAGCTAATACTTTCTTTACAAAGCAGGAATGAACCTATTTTGTTACCAAGGGTGTCCTTGGTACCTCAGAGTCTGGTACATAATTGATGCTTGATAAATAAATGAAGGCAATGAGTTCCACACAATGACCTCTGACTACTGATTATGTTACGGTTATTGGTGCCCAAGCCCTGGAGAAGAGGGAGTTCCCCAAAGGCAGCGACCATGTGTGATTCACCTTCCCTAGTGCCTAGCATGGTGCCCGTCACCTGGTAGGCCCTCTGTACATGTACTGTGAGCTCCTTGGGGACCCTCAGAAGGGTGTTAGAAAAGCCCCCAGCAATCCTCAGTCCAGGCTGTGGGACCCAGTGTCACTTGAGCAGTTCCTCCAGGCCATTTCTGTGTGAAGGCTGGAGAGCCTGCACCCTGTCTTCTGTGTCCCTACCTCGAGGTCCTGCCTTCTGATGCCACAGTGATGAACATGCATTTATTAGGCTCCAGCTGTTTGCTGTGTCCCCTGTCTTAGCCCAACACATGCCCTCTAAGCCAGGTACAAATCCAGCCCATATTCTGGAAGAAGGCCCTTCCCCCAGAGCTACAAAATGCAAATGCCTTTGATAACTGGAAAGAGAAAACAGAAAATTCACTCATATTTGCACTCTGCCATCTTGAGTATTTTGTTGTCCCTTCCAGATTCCATGTGTGTGTTTCATTGCAAACAGAATCATGATATTTAAACCTTTTAAGGTTCTCTTCCTTCCAGCTAACTCAATGAAGCATGGTCTAATGGTTAAAAGCACAAGACCTAGAACCCGATTCCCTGGGATTCCCTTCAAATGTTCATTCTGTTAATGTGATCTTGGATAACTCGGCAAACTACTCTGTACTTCATTTTCCCAGGGTATAAAACGAGGATGATAATAGGATTAAATAACTAAACATCTTTGCAGTTAGACATGTAAAGCACTTGGAACAGTATCTGACATTAGTTACAAACTTAATAGCATTTTTCTGTTGCCATATCATCTACATATGATCATTCTTAATGGTGCAGTATATTCTGAGTGTCCGCACTAGCTAATTTACTGAACTGTTACTCCTTTGTTAAATGTTTAAGTTATTTCCAGTCATTCTGTATTATAAATAACACAGTCATAAATATCCGAGGACATGCATTGTGGATTTTTCCATACATAGCTTCTCAGAAGTAGAAGTATGAGGTTAAAGGGCACAAGCATTTTATGCCTTTGGTCTATATTGGGAAATAGCTTCCCAAAAAAGGTCATAGTGTTTTAAAATCCAACTTATGCTGCAACTTTTTACTATTCACCACTCCCTCACCAGGCTTGGAGGACATCAAATTCTTCAATTTGTGCAAGTTTAACAGTCCATAAGCAGTCCCACTATAACTTCCTTTTCTTTGACTGTCATGGAGGCTAACGGTGCCCATGTGATTACTTTATTGTGAACTCTATCAGTAAGTGTCTCCACCAGTTGCTTTAACAGAGAAGACTTAGTACAAAATATTGCTTACTATGTATTTTGAAAATGAAAAGCCCTAAGGACTTGTTCCCAGTCCTGAGGCTAGGGCACAAAGAGAAGACCAGATGGCAACCGGTTAGTGTTAGTGTCTCCAAGGTGTGTGCTACAAGGCTAGTGCTGCAAGTGATGGACAAACTGCAAACTGAATTCAGGTGCTGCTTCTGGAACATTCTGTTGCTGTAGAAGTGGAAAACCAAGGCTGTGGGGTTTCCAAATTTAGAAGTATGAAAATGCAACATGTCTACTTAAATTTGAATTTCAGAGAAATGATGAATAACTTTTTAGAACATTTGTACTAATATTGCCTGGGAGGTATCCTAAAAAAGTTACTTATTGTTTATCAAAAATTCAAAGTTAAGGGTCCTACATTTTATCCGTCAATCTCACATGGCAAGGATGATGCTGGAAAAAGCATCTGTCCCCCTCACCTAGCCTTTCCATCACACCGTGGTGCCCATTATTGGCAGAGCCCAGCATAGAGCCAGTTGGCAAAGCTCAGAAGTGGTTTGCAGACAAAGCCAAGTGAAGGGTGGGTTTGAAACTAAGAAACAATTACCCGATAATGGGCATAGTCCATCCTTTCAACCATTCAGCCTCCATACACACAGTTCTATACCCTGGTACTTCCAGACAACAACAAAAACAACTCTAACAAAATACCTAATAAAATACATCTTTCCAAGAAATGAAAACATTCTCACCTTCTCCCCAGAATGGGAGGGACAAAGTCTCTACAGTCCTCTTACTTGTCTCTGGAAAATAGTCACACTACCCATCTCTAGGCAGGATTAACTATCCTTTAAACACAGTCACAATCACATTTGAAAATTCTGTCACCTAAAGACTAAACTGTAGAATTAACCTCCAACAATACTTATATAAAAAAATAAGAGGAAGGAGAAGGGAGACTAAATTAGCTTATACCATTACGTAAATCACATCATCATCAAGGCAGAAACTATGCCAAGATGCTATAGTCCTTGTTTCTGTCATCAGTCATGAGGCCATAGTCAATGCTTCTGCATTTCTTGCTCAACCTCCCATCCCATGTTTTCCTGTCCTCAGGACCGCGGTTGGCCAGGGTTCTTTAGTGGGGTGACCTAAACCTTTCTTTCTGAAGAATGTGAATCCTCAGTGGTCCTGCCTCTCTCTGGTTGCCATAGCAATCACTACTATCCCCTAGTGAGCTTGCAAGTACTAGGACATGCCCCAGAGGATCCCCTGGGCTTGGATCTAGACCCTCCTGCCCTCAGTTGCCCCTCAGTCATCAGGTAGCCTGATAACAGCCCGTCAAGTAACCCCGTCTTTCTTTGTCCACGGTTTTGTGGCAAAAAGAAAACCAAATAGCAAGGTGGCAATCTCAACTCTGTTTGGTAGAACCATGTTGTGAACTCTTATAGAAGTGCTTGTCTCTGGGGAACCAACACCTCCAATCCAGAGAGCACAGAATTAAAGAGACCGGAAGCAAAATTTCTGCAAATGAGTTATTAGGTGAAATGATGAAAGGAACCACTTCCACTTCTACCCCTTGATTTCCAGACCCAAGTATTCTGGCTGTGGGAGAAAGGACACAATATACTGTTTGCTAAGTCAAATCCTATATTGCCTCCTGTAAGACAGAACTTCACCAGCTTCGTGGAGTGTTACCTCACCGGAGTCTTAAGTAAGTCTTCAGTAGCCCATTCTACGATCTATTCGGCTAGCTGCTCCTGGGTGGCCAAGTACAAGTCAAGACCACTGAATTCCATGGGCATAAGCCTGTTGCTTCACTTCTGTTACTGTGAAATGAATTCCTTGATTAGAGCCTTATTGTCTGGTATCTATCAGGTTGATGACAGGGCATCCCCAGATCCCAAATATCCCCAGACTGTGGCACTGGCAGAGTCTTATATACAAGGGAAGAAAACCTATATCCAGAGTATTTGTTTATTCCAGGGAGGAGAAATCTCTTTCCTCTCTATAATGGGAAGAGTCCAAGGCAATCATGCTGCCCAGTAGGTGGACCCCAGGGAATGGTGCCATACCAGGAGCTCCATGTTAGCCTCTGCCATTGACAGGTTAGTCATTGAGCAGTAGCAATAGTAGGTCAGCCTTGGTGACCAGGCGTCCATGCATAGCTTCCATCCTTGCCACCATGACTACTTTATACAGAAACTCACTGTGTAATCCCTAGGTGGCTGGAGAAGGACGCTAAGATACACACGACATGCCACTTCGCCCGCGTGATCGAGGGAATCTATTTCATCATGCCCTTTGGTGAACTTTGCTATATGGCACAAATATGTTCGCAATCTATACCAATCCCACCCTTCCCCAGGCTTCCTCATCGCCAAGCTTACTATTCTGTTCTAAGTCCCTGACCATCAGCCAAACCATTAGCAATGGCCCATGTATCAGTGTAGACTGTAGACCTAACCATCTCTTAGACCAAAATGAACCACCAAATTTACCACTTCAAGTCCTATCCATCAGGAAATACTCTTCTCACTCTCACTCTTCAGGGCTACCTTTTGCTGGGGCTGTGCAGCTGCAACCATAAACTTCCCATTGATGCCGGTGTATCATGAAGAGTAAGACCAAGCCCAAGCTTCTTTCTCCTTGGTCATAAGGAATCCCTAGTAAGGCCCTAGGTGTGGATCGAAGGAGAAGAAATCGTGCCACAGCAGGTGTCAAACGAGTCTGAGCCACCTGCTCATGGGACTTACTTGTACCTTCCAGATGGGCTCAAGCCACTGATGATGGCATGCTGCTGGGCACACCAGCAGCATGGGTTGGTGGGTGAGACAGCTCAGATCACAGGGTCACTTCATGTCTCATGGCAAGTTGGTGGCCTCATTTTTAATTTGCTTTTTATCTATTTATCCCTTAAATTATCCTGTGAGGCCCACACTTCTTTTCAGCTTCTATTATATTTGTCCTTATCATTTCGTTTATGAATGCTGGAGGGAGCAGCCGCTGACTATCTCATCCTCCCTCCCAGGGTCCAGTCACAACCCAGGAGCTGTCTCTCCAAGAACAGGCACCTACGAACAGGGCGTATTCTTGCTCCCAAACCTGCGTGCCTGCAGCCTTGACCTCCGAAGGGCTAAGGAGAGGTGCTTGTTCTGCCGCACGTTCCAGGCGTGGGGGACTCTGCCAACGGTCTTCTCTCAGGGTGGGGAGCCAGTGGCCAGAGACTGATCTCAGGGCACTCTGTTGCAGGCACGGCCTCTGTCGCTGTGGCAGGGATCCTAGCTGCTCTGCGGATCACCAAGAACAAGCTCTCCAATCACGTGTTTGTTTTTCAAGGTGCGGGTGAGGTAGGTGCCATCAGGAGAACAAGGATGGGTGGAGAAGCATGAAGGAAGGGGGGTACTCAGGGGTTCAGAGAAGAGGAAGCAGCCAAGGTATACTGTGTTAAGTGCTGCTGCCTGGGCACCAACATTTGGGTGTCCCAAGGACTCCTGGGCCTCCTAGAAAGAGGGGGGAAGGTGCAGAGAAGAGAGAAACTTGGTAAAGCTTCTGACAAATGCTGAGCAGCTGTTTGCCTTGTGTCTGAACATCCACTATACGATCCCTCCCAGGCAGCCATGGGTATCGCCCACCTCCTTGTCATGGCCCTAGAGAAAGAAGGCGTACCCAAGGCAGAGGCCATAAAGAAGATCTGGATGGTGGACTCCAAGGGGCTCATTGTCAAGGTACGGTCAGTCTGGAAACCTAGAGGTTTCCTGACACCTACAGCTACTGGAACTGGACTGTAAGAGGTCTCCAAGGGAGAAAGTTCTCAGACAGAACACAGTACAACAGGGGGGTAATATTCTACCCTCCAAAGCAGAAGATACATCCCAAAGTAGCCTTAACTGCTCTGTCCAAAAGCTTTAATATGTGGGCGACTGCGTGTATGCATGCCCCTTCCAGCTTTATCTCCCACCCCTTCCTGCCTTGGACTAACCTCCAACCTCAGTAAATCATAATTTTCCAAAAGTAACACGCGCTCTCCTGTCCACATCCTTGCATATTTTGTTTCTCTGCCTGAAATGCCTTTCTCTTTTGCCAAACACCCACTCTCAACCCACAGCCCCATCTGTTTCCTCCTTGCTGTTACCTCTTCCAAGAGGCTTTCTCTGAGCATCTAGGTCTCAGTCCACTTCCTACATTTACGCTCATGTAGCCGTCCCCCACCATACGCTGTACTTGCCACACTGTAAGGCAGTTGCCCTTTTAATTGTCTCTCTCCCCACTAGGCTTTGTAGTCTTCATATCAATGCCTGGCATGTAATGAGTCTGTAATGATGTTTGAGGTATGAGTGCAAGAATGAATAAGAAACCATCTAACTTCGGACTGGGCTACAGAGAGGGGCATGTTTAGATAGCCTCCAAACTTAGAACTTCACTGACAGCTCCACGTTTTAGTGCCCCAAATTCCACTAACAGAGAATGTCAGTGAGAGACTTTTTAAAAAGATGACAGAGATAAGAATGGGGGAAGTCCAGGGGGCTCTCAACCAAGAATAGAAGAGACCCTCGGCAGAAACTGACCTTCTGTTGTCTCATCTGGAGCTAGATCACCACTAGAAGGAATTCCTCCTCACACCCCAGGTCATTCCAAAGCACAAGGCGGCACAGGAAGAAGATGCCAGAGGCTGCCACACTCCCCTCTTGCCACCTTTCAACATTATTTTGTTTATCCCATTAAGCTGATCCCTACTTAAGTCAATCTCAAAGCTGATGTCTTCACTCTGATTCTCATGAGGACAGCTGACCCAAAGGAGTCATCAGAACACCTGTACCATTTGCCAGCCTGTCAACCCCTGAGTCCTATTTGAAGAAATGAAAGGATCCTAAGCTTGTTGGCAAAAGCCAGCTATGGCAAGCCTGTCCTAGGGCTTAGCTTATTATTATGCACAGGGCGGTCCATGGCTCTTGTAAAGTACATTCAAATTAGCTTTCTGATCCTGATGGCTCAGGCCCCCATCCCTCAACTGGCCCTGAGTGCTGGCTGCCTTGGGGCCAAAGGTCTTGGTCAAGCTCAGGCATTTCATGAGAGCCTTTCGGCCCTGGCCTGGGAACCATGACCCTAAATGTGCAAAGCAAGGCTTTATGGATTCTCCATGTGTGGTTTGAGCTAAAGAAATCCCCCCCACAACCCCACACTGTGACACAAGCACACATTACAATCCTTAGATTCCACCGCAGGTTTTCCCAGGAGATCTGGTCAAGAGGGTGAGCGACAAGGCTTCTGAGAGCTCAGACCAAAGCGCAGGGCTCTCGGGGAATGTTCTCGGGATCTCCAGAGGCACCCATGTGTTTTCACTGACAGGCATCATGTTTTCCTTTCCCTGCAGGGGAGGAGCCAACTGAACCACGAGAAGGAGATGTTTGCCCAGGACCATCCTGAAGTGAGCAGTCTGGAGGAGGTGGTGAGGCTGGTGAAGCCGACGGCCATCATAGGTAGGAGGAGGCAGGAGGCCCGCCGGCCGGCCCAGCTAACCCTCTTCACTCGCAGGTGGAAGCTAAGGCCCAGCCTGACTCAGCAGGCGCAAGGAATCGATGGAAACCACGCTCTCCCCCCGACCCCATGGCCACCGCAGTGCCACCATCTTTCGCTGAGGGACGACTCTATAAAAATCATAAAACTAAGGCACCAAGTTGGGGCTTAGTGATGCAGAGTTATACAGTGCAGTGGAAAAGCACAGGGCTGGTCTGAGAGGAGGTGAGCACTGCTGTCCCGAAGAGGGGACCCTGGCATCTCTCCCTGTGTTGGGAGAGCCACGTACTCTAAAGGACTTTGCCAAGGACCAGGCAGGGACCTGAAGGGACCAGTGTTCCCTCAGGGATGAACAGGAGGTCTTGCCTAGCTCAAACAAGAAGACCCTCTTCTCTTTGGCTTCCTGCATCCATCCCTATGGTGGATGCTATCTCCAAGATTCCTGCGTCTTCCATGTTGCACCAAGAGGAATGGGGTGTTTATAAAGAGTAGGCCTCCCTACTACCCCCCTTTTCCCTGTAGGTGTTGCTGCCATCGCAGGAGCCTTCACGGAGCAGATTCTGAGGGACATGGCCTCCTTCCACGAGCGCCCTATCATCTTTGCCCTGAGCAACCCCACCAGCAAGGCCGAGTGCACAGCTGAGAAGTGCTACCGGGTCACTGAGGTCAGCGGGGAGTCCTTCCTTCCCCAGGCTGAGAGGACATAGTAATAATTATGAGTAACCCTATGAGGGTGAAGAAAAATCCCCACTTTCCTGATGAGTAAACTGAGGTTCAGAATGATGAAATAAATTGCCTGAGGTCACATTGCTGCTAAAGAGTGGAGCTGACCCTCAAACCCAGGTCTGGCTCCAAAGCCCAGGCTCTCACCATCATGTCATACTGCTCAAGGGTCCTCTAGAGACTCAGAGCTTTGACCAGAACCTGAGGCATTCATAGACTTTAGGTCACCTGCACTCCTGTTGTGTCCTGGGTTAGCCCTCTCGGGAGGTGACAGGTTAAAAACCTCCACCTTTCAGTGATTTCTTGGCTGCCAGGTAACTCAGTGAGAGCTAAGCTTTCTGGTTAAAGGAACAAGTGTGCTTCCAGCACCTGCTGTGTGCCTGTGCCGAGCACGTGGGAGAGAATGAAGAAGGGTAGGCCACCATTACTGCCTGAAACCCATCTCCAGGCTCCATCTCTGCTTTTCTTCCTGCCTCCAGGGCCGAGGGATCTTTGCCAGTGGAAGTCCTTTTAAGAGCGTGACTCTGGAAGATGGCAGGACCTTCATTCCTGGGCAAGGAAACAATGCCTATGTGTTCCCAGGAGTGGCTCTGGGAGTCATTGCTGGTGGCGTTCGGCACATCCCAGACGAGATCTTCCTCCTGACGGCAGAGGTAGCCCCATCCCTGCTCCCTTGCGTGCGTGCTCCCAGTCAGGTCTGTGATCTCTCCCAGGTGCTATGCCAGCCCCCAGAGATTCCTTCTCTCATCCCCTCTACCTGCCTGCCCCTCACCCCAGCAGTAGATCCTCAAGATGCGTGAACCTCAAGCTTCTCTCAAGATCCCCTCGAGGCTTAAACATCTCTCAGAACACACACATTTTTAAGGGAAATTAAGGAATAGTCCATGGGAGGAGGTGCTGGCAGGAGGCGCTAGCAGTGCAGGAACGTCTGTCTGTCTGCTCCTCGCCTCCCAGCAGTGTCCACATGCATGCCCAGAACAGAGGCGAGGCCACCAGAGCCATCGCAAACGGGGCTCATGGACCATGACCAGCAGCGGAGTCTTCTGACCACTGACCTTGGCCACGTTACCGGGGGAACTTGTTGCAGAATAAAGCCCACCAGGGCAACTTTCTTTAAGGAAGGGATGGGCCACAAGCCTGGTTTGCCTGCTCTGAGGACCGGGATCTGGAGCACAGATACAGGGGTGCTTCTGCTCCGAGCACCTTCCGAGAAACACTGTCAAAATGAGTCTTTGCTGGAAGTGAGGAAACCAAGGAAAGAATTTGTTAAGAATGACAGCTCATGTTCCTAATGTTGGCTGTGAATCCTACCAGTCGCAGTGGCTTACATCCACCCCGTGGTTACTAAACGACAGGCACTTGACATCTTCTCTCTGAGGAAACTACAGAAAGGTCTCTTCAGGGAGGGTAAACTAATCAAAACTATAAACACACACTAAATATATTTATCCCCAGTGAGCTTCAAAGGCTCTGTGATTTCTGACACATTCTCATTTCCCCCTCCCCGTGGCACTGGTGAGAGCCCCAGGCCAGCAGGACACGGGAACGGCTCCCACGCAGCCTTAGCCAGCTCCTCTTCTAGAAGCCCTGGTCTTTGAGCACTGGCTCCACAAGGACAGCAAATGATGTCTCCTGAAGTTTTGTCAGCCTCCCCCAGGCCGTGTGCACACTGGCTATGCCTTTGTGCCCAGGCATCTGCCCATCTTGTGTGACCCTCCTGCATCTTTCTTCTTACTGCTCTGTCAGTGGTGGTGCCCCGTGGCCATGGGTGGAGCTGTGCGAATCCCCCCATCAGATGGGAGGAGTCATTTCCTGCTTGGAAGGAGCCTTAAAGCAAACTCCCCTGTGGTGCAGAAAGATGGCTGCTCCAGCCTTCCTCTGTAACCCCAAGAGACACCCTCACCCCCTAGAGCTTAGGGCGTTGGTCAGCGCCATCATTTCATGAATGGTGTCAGGAACCTCTCCTCAATCCACTCGTTAATCTCTTGCTGCAGTCGGGACAAGATCCCTCCCTCCTAGGAGCTGACAGTCTGGTCTTTAAAGGGCTGGCAAGTTACATTTCTGAAAGGGGTACTTAAAAGTTTAAGACCATTAAAGTTGAACCTGATTTTCCTATGGAAAAAAAATGATGTAACTTTTAGGAGAATTCTATATCTCATTCCACCTTGACAACTCTCTAAACCAGATACAGTGACCATCCCGATGGGATACCCAGGAAAGTAAGGCACAGAGAATCTAATCCATGCCCAAGGTCACCAGGTGCGTGAGCAACAGCACCAGGAGGGCCCCAGAGGATTTCCTCCGAGCTACAGCAGAGCCTCACCAGTGCCCAGCATCTGAGAAGGGACCACCAGCCACCATCCCACTCCAGTCCACAGGAAGACTCCTCCAGATGCAGATCTCGCCGTGGACATCCTGCTTCACCGTGATCCGATTTTCCATACCTCCCCCAAGAAAATCCTTAAAAACCCAGAGCAGTTCATCTCTCTCCTCATTTTAGACATTTGAATGGCTCCTCAATGCTTACAGGGTAAAACCCAAACTCCTTCATAAGGTTTCCATCTAAGGCATGTCATCACCAGGCCCTCCTTTTCTCTCCAGCCTTCAGCCTCGCCCTCCCATTGACCAAGCCGATGTTCTTTTTACAATCTAGAACTCATGCTCCCTCCTGCTGCCTCTCTCCAAGAAACTGCATGTGCTGTTGCCTCTCCCTTTTCGAGTAATTCATCCTCCGTCCCATCTCCTGGGAAGCTTTCCTGTACATGGCCGACCAGGCCCTGCCTTCCTCTGTGCTTGCACTCACTTCCGTGTTATAACTGTTGTACCTGTTTGTTGGTCATTGTCCACTGCCTCCAGACTACAGGAGGAGAAAGGCTTCTCTGCCACAGACCCTCAGCAAGGAGTGCAGAGCCCAGCATATCCTAGAGCTCAGTTAGTGTTTGAATGAATGAGTGGAAAGGAGAGATAGGAGCAGGGAACGGAGGCTGAAGAGGAGGAAGCCCACGCCCCTGAGGTCAGCCAGACTCTGAGACAAGACCAGCTGCTCTGGCTCATCCATTCTGGGACAGTTTTCAGAGAGTACCATGGCTCTTCCCAGATTTAACTCTGACACAAGATGACTGGGCGGGAGTGGATTCAAGCCGGCACATAACAGAGGCTGTTCCGCAAGGCTGGCTGAGCTCCAGCGTCTGAGGCTGGAGGAGGAGACTTGAGGTGGAGAACTGGGCCTCAGAGACCGGCTCTGAACCAGGGAAGGTGTGGGAGGCGCTGTTCCCAGGATGCTGGCATTCGCGGTCACTCACTGCGGATGGAAGAAGGCTTTGCTCAGGACTGGAAGAGCTAGCAGCAGGAGCTCTGAATACAGGGAAACAAGATGGCCTAGGTGGGCACCCAGGATGTTACTAAGCACGGGGGAGAGGCTGGAACTCGGGGAGGGTCTCCGCGATCTCTGTGCAATAGGCTGAACCAGCCATGGGGAGAGCCTAGAGTCTGCTTCACAAGTCTCAAGTATATTCGTCTCAGTCTTCGTGAATCGCCTTTAGAATTTAGGGTCCATGTAGTTTAATCTCTCAGCCAGTCGCACAGTACAGAAAGGATGTGTCCTTGCTTAGAAGCCCAAGCATGGGGTCGCCTGCGTGGCTCAGCTGGTTAAGCATCCGACTCTTGATTTCCACTCAGGTCATGATCTCAGGGTCGTGAGATGTGGCCCCATATTGGGCTCCACACTGCACATGGAGCCTACTTAAGATTCTCTCTCTCCTGCTCCCTTTGCCCCTCACCCTCTCTCTAAAATAATAAATAAATCTTTAAAAAATAATAAAAGTCCAAACATTAAGCTGCCCTGGGGCCTTGAGGGGGCAGAGACTACAATGGGAACTGCACAGGTTGGCCACCGCTGAGGGGTGAGGGGAGTCTCTGGGGTAATGGTTTGGGTTTGTTCTGGGAAGATGGAAACTCCGCTTACTCCTCTTGGTTCTCTCCCCCCAGCAAATTGCCCAAGAGGTCTCCGAGCAGCATCTGTCACAGGGGAGACTGTACCCCCCACTCAGCACCATCCGAGACGTGTCTCTGAGAATCGCCATCAAAGTAAGGAGCATCCTACCACCAGTGGTATGGCCAGCGCAGCTCGACAACTTCCTCTCGCTGGGAGTTTAGGGGAGCTAAGGGGAGGGCAGCCGTAGTGGCATCCTAAGCTCCCACGCCAACTCTGGCCAAGAAATGCCTGCCTGCATCTCGAGCCCCACCCCCACACCCACTCAGGCCAATTCTGGGAAAGCTCCTGGATTTCCCCTCAAACACCAGGCAAAAAGGTCAACAAAGTCCACAGTCTTGTGGACCAGAATGTGGGTGGAATTTTTTAAAACTGAATCATAAGTGCCTATTTATACAGAAAGGCCAATTTTCATGGCATCATGAAAAGAGCTCTAGGAATCCCTTCATTTCCTGAGCCTCAGTTTCTTCCTTTTCCAAAGGAGATGGTAATTCCTCTCTCTGAGTTCTGAAGACTAAAGAGGACAGCAAGAAAGCTCCACACTCAGTGTAGGGTAAATGCTTATTCCTCCCCCTTTTCTCAGAATGCCTGGGCCACACGATGATCAGGTTCCTGGAATAGTCCAAGGAAAAATGTCTTCCTAAAGACCTTGCAGAAATGGTACATTTTCAGAGAATCAGAACACAGTGCAATCAAGACTGGCCCAACATGGATAACTGTTGAATAAGGGTTGCGTTAGGGTTTATTATATATATATTGTAATTTCAGAAGATGCATTGCACAACCGCATGTGCTCCCCATGAGCTGTCCATCGTAGGCTCGAGAGTCAGCCCTGAAGACTAACAGTCCAGCTCATGGCCCCAGCTCCGCACTGTCCATTTCCTTCTGTTTGGGGATGTAGAGACTAATGCTCTTCTGAAACCAAACCTGACACCCAGAGAACAGTGTCTAGGCTCTTCTCCCAATTCAACCCACATTGGGTGGGGGGGGTGGATATCTGGTACTGGACACCTGATGTGGCCTGTTGCCTAATTTTATCCTCACACTACTCCAGAGAAAGGTCTCCTAACTCCCACTTTAGAGATGAGGAAACTGAGGCTCAGCAAGGATAATGTCACCACCGAGGACGCACAGGCAGTTGGAAGCAGGTGCAGACTTGAGTCTGAGGCCTCTTGAATGCAGCCTAGTGCTTATTCACTGCATCACAGCTCCCTACCCCGGCGGAAAGCTCCAAATCCCTCCTAGCCAGTGGCTTCAAGGACGACAGTTTATGGTTGCTCAGGGGCAGTTACCCTTCCACAGGCTCCCAAGTACCCTTTAGGCAACTTTTAGGCAGGTTCCTCCTTAGTTCCATTTCCTCAGCCTGTATGTTTTTCCCTAGGTCCTCGACTTCGCGTACAAACACAACCTAGCCTCCTACTACCCAGAGCCCAAGGACAAGGAGGCTTTTGTAAGATCCCTGGTCTACACTCCAGACTATGACTCCTTCACACTGGACAGCTACACGTGGCCTAAGGAAGCCATGAATATTCAAACAGTCTGATGCAGTCTCAGAGGCTGTGTGAGTCTGGAGCAAGCCCAGAGTAACGACGACAATATAAATGGGTTCTAAAATGGCCATCTTTGTCACTGTGTTTTTCCTTTGAACTTTCTGGTGTGAGGGGATATATCCAGGCACATAGTGAATGACATCCTTGCCCACGAAGGCCCTGAGAATTCACTTTTCTATAACCCTCTTCCGACTTCCTGCCCAAGAATTTCTTCATCTAATTGCCAACAATTAGCTAGATCTTGTGGGAAATCTAGAATCCTTCCTAGAACTCTGCCTTTACAGAGCTCAGAGTCTAGTGAAGGAGATGAGATGTGGACACAATTCATTTTTTCACAAGGGGGAAAGTGGTTGAGTCCATGAAAGAAGTGCAGATAAAGGTCAAAGGTATTCACAGAAGGGAGCAGATACTTCCTATGAGAACATAAGAGAAGGCTTCAAGGGGAGAAATGTGTGCAAAGTCCCAAGAGTAAAGATGGATAGGAGGCATGGGAACCTGAGGAAGGGAAGGGCAGCCACTGAGCAGAGAGCACAGCCCACCTGTGAGGGAGCACAATCCCAGCTGGAGGAACACGCACCCTTCAAGAATCAGGTGCATATGAAGGCTGAGGGGCTGAAGGCAACTCACTAATCAAAAACTATCCCTCACATGTGGGTTACTGAATAGTAGGATTCCTTTTTGGTTATTACTAAAAGGAAAACTAGAGAAATGTGGGCATGTCAGCAGGCCAAGGAGTGAGGAGGAAGAGAGGCAGTGAGGGGAAGAGAATCATGAAGTTCTAGGGAAGCCCTGATTTCATTTTCCTGACTCTGATACTCTTCTCTATCTCCCTCCCTCTCTCCTTCCCTCCCTCTCTCCTTCCCTCCCACCCTTCACTCTGAAGGAATTCAGCAAGCCAGAGCAGTATTCTTAAAGAATGCCTTCAGTCTGTCATGGGGGTTTCTTAGACAAGTTCAACTATAGCTTTCACCTCGTCCTGTCTAGCAGAGACTACACCATGGGATGGAGAGGTGGAGAAAAGCCTATGGCTGTCGCAATCAAAGGCCCTGATAAATTTCTAGAACCTATTGGTTCTTTCAACCTCTAATTTTATTGGATCACACAGAAAACAGTAAACCATGCTAAGGGAACTACCACCCCCAACTCTTGCTGCCAGCTCAGCCTCAAGATCCCCACCTCCCAGTCACAGGACTGTCGGACTCCTAGCACAGTAATTAGCAGACACACTAGTCACCCCTTGCCCAGGTCTTATTCTTCCAACACCCGCTTCCTTGGTGCTGGTGCTCAGCCAAACACATCCTGAGAAAACATCCCTGTTCTACAATCCCTGGGCTCATGGAGAATGAGAACTTCTTCAGAAGAGGATTTGAAGTGAAGCTGCAATCTCAATGCCAGAGAACCTCTACACTGTCATTTCTGTGTCCTGGCCCACCACTTCTGTACCCCAGCTGCATGTCCTTTGTACTCAGTGTCATAGAAAAGAAAAGTAGTAGAGAAAAGCAATGACGTAAAAGCAGGTTCTTTGAAAAGATCAACTAAATAAATAAACTGTAGCTATACTGACCAGACAAAGAAGATACAAAGTACATTTCCTTTGTTTCAATCACACTAAACACAGACATTTTCAGGCCTGTACACTTTTAAATGCTTGGTCTCCATCTGCCAAGTTCTTCCCCCACCCATTCCCTGCCCTTTATCAATTAAATAGCAGCTCACTGCAGCTTTCTGCTGGAGACCTCATTCATCTTTGGAGTTCAAATGCAACTGGTTCCTGAAGTCATCCTGGACAGAGTTAATAATTAGATTAGAAATCAGAAAAAAATGGGAAATTTCTAACCATTTGTAAATTAAATAATACATTTCTAAATAACCCACAGTTCCAAGAAGAAGTCACAGGGTTAATTATATATATATTGAATTGAATGAAAAATATTAAAATTAATGAGTTTTATCTAGAACACTGCTTAGAGGAAAATTCTGTAGCTCTAAACAAATGCCTCTGTCAGTAAGAACAGTCTCAAAGCAATAACATGAAGTCCCTGCAGAAACAAACAAAATCCAAAGCAAGTTAAGATTAGAACAGAAATAATTGATCTATAACAAGAATTTGATTAGTAATTAAAAATCTTCCCACCAAGAAAAGCACAGGCCCAGATGCCTTTTTTAGTGAATTCTATTAAATATTTAAAATAGGCAGGACGCCTGGGTGGCTCAGTTGGTTAAGCGGCTGCCTTCGGCTCAGGTCATGATCCCAGAGTCCTGGGATCGAGTCCCACATCGGGTTCCTTGCTCAGCAAGGAGCCTGCTTCTCCCTCTGCCTCTGCCTGCCTCTCTGTCTGCCTGTGCTTGCTCGCTCTCTCTCTCTCTGTCTATGACAAATAAATAAATAAAATCTTTAAAAAAAATAAAATAAAATAAAATAAAATAGGAATAGTACTGGATGCCTGGCTCAGTCGGTTGGGCAGCTGTCTTCGGCTTAGGTCATGATGCCAGCATCCTGGGATTGAGTCCCGAGTTGGGCTCCTTGATCGACAGGGAGCCTGCTTCTCCCCCTGCCTCGGCCTGCCACTCTGCCTGCCTGTGCGCTCTCGCGCTCTCTCTCTCTCTCTCTCTGACAAATAAATAAATAAATAATCTTAAAATTAAAATAAAATAAGATAGGAATAATACCAATCCTTCACAACCTCTTTCAGAAAATAGAGGAGGGAACACTCCCAAATCACTCTATGACACTGGAATCACCCTGATATCAAAACCAAATAAAGACAACACAAGAAAACTACAAACCAATTTCCTTCATGAATATAGATGCAAAACCTTAAAGCATTAGCAAACCAAATCCATCAATATAAAAGAATTACACACAAGGAACAAGGGGGATTTATTCCAGGAATGCAAAATTCTTTTAAGATTTTAAAACTGATCCTCACAGTGCCTGGTATTAATAGAGTGAAAGACAGAAACCACAAGATCATGCCAATGGATGTGATAGAACTATCTGAAAAAATCCAACATCCATTTATGCTTAAACTTTGAACAAACCGAGAAGAGAACATCCTCCACCTGATGAAGAACCAACACCTTACATCCTACTTAATGGTGAAAGAATGAATACTTTCTCCCTAAGATCTGGAACAAGCCAAGGATGTTGTCATCACTTCTCATCAACATGGAGGATCTAGCCAGTTCACTAAAAAAAGAAAAAGAAATTAAATGTATCCAAGTTGGAAATGAAGAATAAAACGGCCTTTATTCACAGATGACATAATGCTATATGTAGAAAATGCCAAAGAATAGAACCCTTTATCTCACTAGCGCTCTTTCTCCCCAATCGGTATACAAAGGTCAGAAGATACAAGGTCAATAAACAAAAATCACCTGTGTTTTTATATATGATCAATAAACAATCTAGAAGTAAAATACTTCCATTCATAACAGCATCAAAAAATACTTAGAAAGTTAAGTACAAGTCTTGCACGATGAAAATTATAAAACACTGCTGGCAGGAATTAAAGATCTGAAAAAAAATCCAAATAAATGGAGAGATGTTCCATATTCATGGATTTGAAGACTCAATATTGTTAAGGCTGCAACTTTCTCCACAGCTCATTTGTAAATTCAATACTATATCAAAATCCCTGCAGACTTTTTTTTTTTGTAGAAACTGACAGGCTGATACTAAAATTTATATGGAAAGGATCTAAAAAGCCAAAATTCGGGGTGCATAGGTGGCTCAGTGGGTTAAAGCCTCTGCCTTCAGCTCAGATCATGATCCCAGGGTCCTGTGATCGAGACCCACATCAGGCTCTCTGCTCAGCAGGGAGCCTGCTTCCCTTCCTCTCCCTCTGCCTGTCTCTCTGCCTGCTTGTGATCTCTGTCTTTCAAATAAATCAATACTTTTTAAAAAAATAAATAAAAAGCCAAATTTTTGAAAAAGAAAAAGTACACTATCTAATTTCAAAACTTGCTATAAAACTTGATCAAGATGGTATGGTTATGTAGATCAATGGGAAAGAACTGAGAATTCACAACTAAGTCCTCACATTTATGGCACATTGATTTGCCACAAACGTACCAAAATACTTCAGTGGGGGAAAGGATAGTCTTTTGAACAACAATAGTGCGACACCTGAATATTCACATGCAAAAAGTCAAAAAAATTTGAAAGAGACATTTACTTCACACCATACATAGAAATTAATTTAAAATAGATCACAGACCTAAATGTAAGCTAAAGCTATAAAACTTCTAGAAGAAAATAGAGCAGAAAACTGTGATTGAGAAGAGTTCTTAGATAGTTCAAAAGCATGGTTTATAAAAGAAAAATTGATAAATTGTAATTCAATTTTTTTTTTTTAGTTTTCCTCTTGAAACATATGATTAAGAGAGAAAACAAGCAACAGACTGAGGGGAAATACTTGCAAATTATATATCTGAGAAAGGTATTGTGTCCAGAATATATGAAGAACTTCTATAGTTCAGTAAGAAAATGACAAAACCACCCAATTAAAAAGGTTGATGAATGTTTGAACTGGCATACTACAAAAAATATGTGAATGGCTAATAAGCACATGAAAAGATGCTTAATATCACTGGTCATTTGAAAATTAAAACCATTTCACACTTACCAGAATGGCTATAATAAAGAAGACGGTAGGTGTTGAGGAAGATTGGAACCTCTTCTAACAGCACTTTGTCTCCTAAGCACTATGAAATTCAGAGAAAGCTCCCTTTGTCTTTTCAATCCCAGGGTCCTGGGATCGAGCCCCTCATCGGCCTCCCTGCTCCTCAGGAAGCCTCCTTCACCCACTCCCCCGGTTATGTTTCCTTTCTCACTGTGTCTCTGTAAAATAAATACATAAAATCTTTTTTTAAAAAATAAATCTTCATTCTAACTCCCCAGGCTCTCAGGCATAGCCCCAGAATTCAGCATGTGTCATTTAGGATACTGGATGTTGTGGTTGTGCCACCCAGATCCCTGTGCAGGGCTGAAACACTTATTCCCCAGCTGCCAGAAATATTTATTAGCTGAAGGTTCACAGCTGCATCCCTCTCTGGGAATTGCACTTGGCTGAAGGAAGGTACTTCATTCAAGGGTATGGCTTCATCCCCAGAGACAGCCTGCATACAATGACTGGTTGACTCAAGTCCAAATATTCAACCCCTTTGCCTCAGTTGGGGACATCTCTAAGTGGTCATCCCAGCTCGAGAGCTCCTTACAAGATTGGCTAAGGCCAGTTTTACAACTAACTGTATGTATCGCCATTCAACAACTGCCACCATTTTCTGGTTCTGTTGCTCCCTCACAGGTGTTGAGCCAACTCCCCAGTAAATCTCCAAATGCAAATATCAGATGTAGTATAGGTTTCCTGAGGAACTCAACTTGCTACATGTGGAGGAAAATGGACAAACCTCTCAGTTTTCTAATCTGCTGTACCAGTCCTACATGACCACCAAAAGCCTCTCTGGGTTTCTCTTTCCCTCAGTAGAGACCCCCCACCCACTGACTGCCCTGGACCAAGTCTGATTCTTAGTCCACATCCAGAATCACTGAATGCCCCCAGTGGGGGTGAGGGGTGGTGAAGGGGGTGGAGTTGACCACTAACCTCAGGAGAGCTCCTCCCTCTCTGGAACTCCTGTTCACCTAGTTCTTGTTGCTTTTACAGCTCTCCGACATGTCTTCAAACATACTCCTTTACAAATTTTTCCTTATTTTTCTGGTTGTTATAGTGTAGGTGGTATAATGCTGCAAACTTCTACACACTATCTGGAAGTGGAAGTCTCTAGACACAGGTTTTCAAAATTCCAAATGTGTGGATATTAACTTTTTTCCCAACTTAATTGAATGATAGTCAAAGAAGTTATTAGTATTAAATATTTTTAAATTTGTTGAAATTTTATGGTCAAATGTAATAAATATTTCATGTACTTACTCCTAAAAATATAGATTCTCACTGTCGGTTGCAATGCCCCTTGTATGTTCATAAGCTTAATCATTTTGTTCAAATCTATATCTTTACTGATTTTTGTCCACTTGATCGGTTTCTGCAAGATGGATTGTAAAATATCCCATCACTGTGGTAAATTTGTTGATGTTCCTTATAGTTCTCTCTGTATTTGCTTAATACATTTTGGACCAATGTTGTTTGATGCATGAAGTTTACAATTGTTATAACTTCCTGGTGAACTGAAACTTTAAGATTTTTATCTCTAGTAACGCCTTTGCTTCTACTTTTACTAATATAACACATCTCTACCATCCTTTCTCCCTCCTGCAATTCGTTATTTAGATGGTTAAGCTCCTGTACTAGGTGAATGGTGAACACTGAAATTATTTCTGAAGAACTATATTCCCAGACAGTGTGAATATATGGTTAAACTAGAGCTAAGACAGGTCATCATTTTATCAATTCCACAATAAAACAAAGTATCAGGTATCCAAATACAAAGTTACACAATTCAAAAAGCATATAAAATATTAGATGCCTGATCATTTCATTACTAGAAACCCACTTCTCTTTTGATTGGGAAGACAAGGAAAAAACATGCTTCCAAGAAAAACAGTTAATGAACAACTTCTAATAGACATGGTAAGGAATTACAAGATTTCAGAAATTTTATAAATAAGAAATGTTTGGGCTATAAAGCATCTCTGCTTTAAAAAGAATTTTTTTTCTTGCTAAATAAAAGACCTATTCTATACACCCTGCCAAAACAAAGGCAATATTTTACTGGAGATATTTCATAGCCTCCTCCCACTCTCTCTTTAAACCCTCCCCCTCTAAGTTGCACCCCAAGTGTAAACATTAAAGTAACTGTAAGACGTTTTTGTCTGAAATCATTACACACATGTGCTCTGTACAATGTGTATTTTACATGAACTTTCAACCACAGATTTGTGATTTTTCAAAATGGAGGCTTTCATAACAGCACAAAATGAGTTTTATAGAAAGACATTAAATAATCCCTTAAGTCTTGGTAGGAATCCAATAAAAATCGATTTTTGCTAAAATCTGATGTATAGTGGTGTTCATGTGGGATGGTAAACATGAAGGAAAAAATAACCACATGGCCCTACTTACAATGTTTGAAAGGACTAAAGGAATAAACCACATATGGTTTACAGTGCTGTTCATAATTACTAGGATTTTAATTACGTAGGATACTAAAAATATACAAGTATTGTGCTGGATATTTTGGCACCTAAGCTCTCAACTTCTTACATATTTTTTTCTGGCATGGGAATAGTATGAAGCCAAATATAGAGGCTGCAATTCTGTCATGCTTGTGGTTTTTTCATGATTCCTATGGAAGCTTCATTAGACTTGTCATTCATTAAGCCTACATGTTGGCTAATATGTACGATAATTAAGTCCTGTCTCAAGTTCCATTTCCAAGGCAACAGCATAAGGGAGCCAAGTTTTATTGAATGCAACAGTTGTTTCTATGACCACTGGAGTCTTTGTAGCGCAGCCGCATTTTTGAACGATATTTCTCCAAATACAAAAGTTGCTTGCTGTTAAAAGCTCCACGCCGCTTTTGTCTTATAAACTGTACTGCATCTTCATTTTTCATTCCACCTTCAATTAGTGCTAGGGCAACAAGCACTGGAGTTCTCCCAAGACCCGCAACACAGTGGACAGCAATACAACAACCAGGTTCTTCCCGAAATTTAATGTGTACGAGACTCAACCAGTCGTCGACAATCTGGTTAGATGGCGATGACCCGTCATCGAAAGGCCAATCCAGAACCTGGATGCCTTCTTTCTCCACGAGAGCAGTGTCGTAGGTTGCTTCACATACTCTTACTATTGTAGTAACTCCGTGTTTCTTAAGTTCTTCTATAAACTTGTTTAAGGTTGCACTGGTTGGGCTGTGTGTAATAAGAAATCTCATGTTCCTGTATGTGACTTCCACGGGGGCTGGCGGGCTCGTTGGAGCCATGTTCATTTAGTTGAAATGTTTTCAATACTTGAATGCAGAAGTGATGTTAAGCAGCTGAAGTATACACCCATATATATACTCCACTGGAAATTCTCAATGCTTGGGAAAATGTAATTGAGAGTAACAGGAAACGCAACGAGCCCCCTCGCAAGCAGCAGTCCTTCAGTTCAGTAATACTGAGTCAGTGGAAAGGAAGCCCGCCCAGGTTTACCCCATCCAGGTCTTAATTCTTGGAAACGCTCCGAGGATTTCAACTCTACACGTGCGCGTCCAGGATAACCGATCGGCCGGCGGCTGCTCGGGGGAGGAGCAACGAACCTCTACAGTTCACTGGTCCTCGTAAAGGTCATGCTGTGCCTGGCAGTAATCTCTGGGGCCCTTCAGAAACTCCATAAAGGCGCGACCGAGAACACCACAGACAGGAGCCTGTTTACTCATTAAAGACTGTGGCCTAATCATACAACCAGTCCCGCAGCGGCGACACAGGCGGCAGTGGTGACCTCGGCTGCGGGGCAGGGAGTGGCAGTGGCAGCCGTGGGGCAGCAGTGACCAGACACCAGGCTCTACTGTGCTCCAGCCTCGAAGGAGCCAATCCGCGAGCGGAGGCGTTCTTGCGTCACAAGCCCGCCCTTTCACAGCAGGCGTGACGTGGGCTCCTCTCCACCAATCGCGGCAGGGCGCACCGAGAAGCTATGAGCCTGAGACCCAGCGGGCCGGCTGGTTGGGGAAGGAAGGCGTGGTGCAGACTGAGACGCCACGATGGGAGGGAAGAGAAGGTATTGGGGGAAGAATTCCATCCATTCCCATCCATTGGCTCTGAACGATAAATCTTTTTCCAGCGGTTTCGTGTTTTAGCTGACTCGGGAACAACACGTTCCTAGACTTTTTCTTTAATCCAGTCTGACAATATTGGTCTTTTAACTGAAGACCTTCGTTAATTTAATTTACATTATTTTATTTAATGCTTTTAATTTAGTTAATTTACATAATTTTATTATTTTACATTATGTTAATTATTGCTATATTTGCTCTCATTTTGTACTATTTCATATATTTATCCCTTCTTTCATCCGTTCTTGATTTTTTTTGGATTAGGGTTTTGCTCCTCTGAATCTGTATCCAAAATCCTCTGCTGTGTTGGGGATGTTGTGATTGTGGTTTTAGCTTACCAACTGCTACCGATTAGATACCATTCTAAATCTAACTGGCTTTAAAGAAATTCATTTGCTGTAACAACTGTATGAATTAGATAGTTTTATTTTTATAGCTCTGATTTTTTAAAAAAATAATAAACTTCAGCACAGAAGAGTTACTTGCCCAAAGTTACACAACTAGTAAATGTCAGAGTTAAGATTTAAATCGTGAAATTCTGGCTCTGGAGTCTACTTCTCTAACATATATATGTCCTATCATATACCTTTTTATTCTTTTACTACTAAAATAGCTTAGAAATAGTCAAACATTCTAAATACTTTCCCATGTCTTCAAGGAACTTAATAGACTTTAAATATTAATGTTGTCAAGCATTTTAACACCACCTATTACATTGTTTATAAAAATCAGTCTTTAAAGTTTATTCAGTATGTGATCAGCTTCTTTGCTCACTATTCCTCCTTGCACCGCCACCCTTTCTTGTAAGATTATTCTTTATTTACCCAGGAGCATCTTCTGGAGGTTCCCTTAGCTCCTAGTATAAGATCAACTTTGAACAATATTTTATATAACCTTAAAAATATGCATTCTCTCACTACTGAAATTGTTGGTAGACTTGCCCCCCCCCCTTTGGTTCTTTAATGAGTTTTTTTTTTTCTGAAATTCTCTTATTTGGTTTTCATTCTTATTGTTTTGCTGGGTATATAATTTTGCATTGACATTTATTTTCATAGTCCCTTGAAGACATTCCTTGTCTTCAGGTTTCCTCTCTAATAGCTGTAGAATTTTCTAAAATATCTAGTCTTTGGGCATTACCATGATACCAAAACCAGACAGTTCAAAAAAGGAAACTATAGGCCAATATCCCTAATGAACATAGATGTAAAGATTTTCAATAAAATATTAGCAAACCACATTCAACAATGCATTAAAGCCTCATTTGCTATAATCAAGTAGAATTTCTTGAGTCAATACTTGCAAGACAATGAGCCACATTAACAAGATAAAGAATAAAAATCATATGATCATTTCAATACATGCAGAAAAAGTGCTTGTCAAAACTCATTTGTTCATGATAAAAACTCACAACAAAGTGGATTTAGAGGGAAAATGCTCAATTAAGTCCATATAGGACAAACCCACAGCTAATATCACCCTCAATGTAAAAAACTGAGTACTTTTCCTTTAAGATCAGGAATAAGACAAGAATGTCCACTCTCACCACTTTTATTCAACATAGTACTGGAAGTCTTAGCAACAGTAATTAGACAAGAAAAGGGGGGAAAGGGAGTGCAAATTAGTAGGGAAGAAGTTATACTATCACTTTTTGCAAATGACATAATACCATACATGGAAAACCCTAAAGACTCCACCAGAATCTGTTAAGAGTAAATAAACACTATTTTATCCTAATATCTTAATGTGATAGGATATAAAATTAATATAGAAATCTATTGCACTTCTATATTATGTATACACACACACACAAAATAGGAGAAAGAAATTAAGAAAACCATTCCATTTAAAACTGCACCAAAGAGGGGCACCTGGATGGCTCAGTGGGTTAAGCCTCTGCCTTCAGCTCAGGTCATAGTCTCAGGGTCCTGGGATCAAACCCCACATCAGGCTCTCTGCTCAGCAGGGAGCCTGCTTCCCCCCACCCCACCTGCTTCTCCCCCTACTTGAGATCTCTATCAAATGAATAAATAAAATCTTAAAAAAAATCTGCACCAAGTAGAATAAAATACCTGAGAATAAACTTAACCAAAGAGGTAAAAGACCTGTACTCTGAAAATCAGAAGACACTGAGGAAAGAAACTGAAGATGACAGAAACAAATGGAAAGATATTCCATGCTTGTGGATTGGAACAAATATTGTTAAAAGGTCCATACTACTCAAAGCCATTGCATTCAATATGATCCATATCAAAATATCAATAGCATTTTTCACAAAGCTAGAACATATAATACTAAAACTTGTATGAAATCAATGAAGCCCACAAATAGCCAAAACAGTCTTGAGAAAGAAAAACAAAATTAGAGGTATCAAAATACCAGATGTCAAGACATACTACAAAGCCGTAATAACCCAAACTGGCACAAAAACAGACACCTAGATCAATGGAACAGAACATAGTCCAGAAATAAGTCCATACACATATGGTCATGTAATCTATGACAGAAGAGGCAAGAGCAAACAATGGGGTGAAGACAGGCTGGTCAACAAATGGTCCTGAGAAGACTAGACTGCTACATTCAGAAGAACGAACCGGATCAAGTTCTTACAGCTTAAATATTAATTCAAAATGGATTAAGTACAGAACTGTGAGGCCTGACACCTAAAAGTCCTAGAAGAAAACATAGGTAGTAATCTCTAACATCAGCCTTAACAATATTTTTCTAGATGGGTCTCCTCAAGCAAGGGAAACAAAAGCAGAAATAAACTATTGGGAGTATACCAAAATAAAAAGCTTCTGTATAATGAAGAAAACCACCAACAAAGTGAAAACACAACCTATGGGAGAAGATATTTGCAAATGATGTATCCTATAAGGAGTTACTATCCAAAATATATTAAAAACTTATACAACTCAACACCAAACAAAACAACACCCCAAAAATAACCCAACTTGAAATTGAGTAGAGGACATGAGTAGATATTTTTCCAAAGAAAACATACAAATGGCCAACAGACAAAGGAAAACATGCTCAAATCACTAATCATCAGGGAAATGCAAATCAAAATCGCAGTGAGATATCACCTTATACCTGTCAGAATAGCTAGTATCAAAAAGACAAAAAAATAACAAGTTTGGCAAGGATGTGGAGAAAAAGAATCCCTCATACAATGTTGTTGGGAATGTAAACTGGGGCAGCCACTAGAGAACAGTATGCAAGTTCCTCAAAAAATTAAAAATAGAAATATTTTATGATCCAATAATTCCACTTTTGGGTGTTTACCCAAAGAAAATGAAAACACTAATTCAAAAAGATATATGCTCCTGTAGGCTTACTGTAGTACTATTTACAATAGACAAGATATGGAAGTGACCCAAGCGTCCATTGATACCGAATGGATAAAGAAAAAGTGGTTATGTATGCAATGCCATAAAATGAAGGCGATCTTAGTCATTTGTGTTAACATGGATGGTCCTAGAAGCTATCATGCTAAGTGATAGAAGTTAGAGAAAGATAAACATCATGTGATTTCACTAATGTGTGGAATCTAAAAAGCAAAACAAATGAACAAACAAAAAAAGACTCTTAAATACAAAGAACAAACTGGTGGTTGCCAGAGGAGATGGGGGTTGGGGAATGGGTGGAATAGATAAACTTCCAGTTATGGAATAAATAAGTCATGGAGATGAAATGTACAGCATAGGAAATACAGCCAATACTATTGTAACAACATTATGTGGCGACAGATGGTGACCACACTTACACTTTGAGCACTAAGTAATGTATAGAAATGTTGAATCAGTATGTTGTACATCTGGAACTAATATAACAATGTATGTAACAATAGAACAATGTATGTTAATTATATTTCTTTTTTTAATTTTTTTTTAAGATTTTATTTTATTTATTTGACAGAGAGAGATCACAGTAGACAGAGGCAGGCAGAGAGAGAGAGAGAGGGAAGCAGGCTCCCCACTGAGCAGAGAGCCCGATGCGGGACTCGATCCCAGGATCCTGAGATCATGACCTGAGCCGAAGGCAGCGGCTTAACCCACTGAGCCACCCAGGTGTCCTTTTTTTTTTTTTTTAAAGGTAGAAACAGACCCATAAATACAGAGAACAGACCAGTAGTTGCCAAAGGGGAAGGGGCTGGTGGGATGGGCAAAATGGGTGAAAGAGGGTGA